TTTTCTCCGCAGGAAGTCGTTAACTTTGGCCCCCATGGCTTTGCCCAGGTTCTTGAGGTGCTGGCTGCTGCCCACCCAGAGTCCAGGCCCTCCGGCCTCCACAGATCCCAGGGCGGCAGAGCTGGGGGCCGCGGGCCTGGACACGTGGGGGAAGGAGCGGCTTGACTGGAGCTTTGGAGTGAGGGCTGTGTTCAAGTTCTCAAACATGCTGTGGTCAACTACAAACAAAGAGGGAAAGACAAGAGAGCCGGTGAGGTGAGGGGAGGGGGGGCTTCGACCCCATCACTTTTGATCTTCTCCTTATACCACACCCACAACTTGTAACTTCATGAGGCTTTGGAAATAGTCAAGAGAGAGGCAGCAAACACACTCTTGAACCTTCCTATCCAGTTGTTCTGATGGGATGTGGGACCAGAAATTCTAGTTCTGCCTCACCCAGGTTAATCAGTGATGAACTCTAGCCACAAAAAAGCTAACTTATCCCTTTAAACGTGCCTCCTTGACTCATGGCTTAACCCCTTACCTTGGGGTCACCAGGCCCTTTGAAGTAAAGACAAACAAGGATGAAGCAATGAGATGTGACATTTTTACACTGCCATGAGCACATGTGGAGCTCTCAGACTCAGGCGCTGGGGTAGAAGCTGGTGGAGGGATGGCAAGTGTGAGGCTTGGAGTTGGAAGCTCCCTGCTAAAAAGCCACATGTGTAGCACGTTTTCTCCATGAAAAATGCTCACTTCTCTTGGGGGTGGAACTTGGGAGAATGGGACAGCTGCATGCAGAGAGATGCCAAGTGGTGGTTCAGAACCAGTTCACGCCAAATGGACAAAGCACTTGGTGCCAAGGAAGCAGGAGGAAGCTGACAAACGCCAGCTCACTTAATCCTCACAAGCTAGTAAGGTGGGGCATGGTAAGATTTCTCTTTATAGAGGAAGAAGACGGGGCTCAGAGTAATGAACTGCTGGGCCCGAGGTCACAGCCCAATTACTGGCACGGTGAGAACTAGAACCCCGGTTTTCTCACCTAAAGCTCAGGGCTCTTGCCACTACTTTTCCTGCTTTGCATGGAATAACTGCCTAAATATGCCTTGTGCACAGTCTGCCTCTCAGGGATCTCTGCTCGGCTGGAAAGATTAACTCAAAGGGCTGGGAGGAGACCCACTGGGTTGTAAACACTCGCAGGGCAGAAGCCATGTCTCACCCATCTTTGTGTCTCTAACAGCTAGCCTGGGTGTGGCACACAGTAGGTGCTCAATAAATATCCTGAAATGCCAAACCCATTTGCAGATAGAGAATCGTGGAGACCGAGACCACAGTAGCTCTGAGGTCTGTAGTTGGAATGGCTAGAGCTCAGGGCTCTAAGCCGCACTGTCCACACACTTGCACAGAGGCAGCCTCTCCCCACCAGGAAATCCAGCTCAGGCCTCAGTGCGGCCAGACCCACTCTGGGGCCTTGGAAGCAGGCTTGAGGTTGCTGTCCTTACCGGCTACTCCAGATATTTTGTCAGTCTCAGAGGAAGAGAGCGATTTGGCCATAGGCTCTGCTCCTTGTCAATACCTCTGCTAATAGGTGTTGCTAATACCTGCCGAGCCTTCCTAAGAGTAACTGAGGTTAGGGTATACATTTTCTTCCGTTGAACTTCTGCATAAAGCAATTCTCTGCCCTGCACTGCTGAGTCCTGGGCACTGGGGAGCATTTCTCTTTATTGTGGTTTTATGCAGAGATATCCCTTCTGAGCCAACTACCTCAATAAGCCATATGCTAAGGGTCTTCGGGCAGCAGGAGGAAGCTGTGGGAGGAGGGGAGATCTCCCCCTGTGATGAACCCCCCAGTCTTCACCTCTGTAACTGCCCCTAACCCACGTGCAAGAAAAGCACCACTGCAGGGGACATGCTGGGAACTCGATTAGAGCATCCCTGGGACATGGGGCACAGAGCTGACTGGTTCAGGCTGGCTGGGTTCCAGATGTAGACCCACCACACTAGGAGGTGATCCCGGCCCACCCCACAACAGGGGTATCAACCCTTGAGTCTTCTCCTGAGAGTATAAATCTTGCCATGTCATCCACTTTTGCATAATTTACCTATCATGTCCCATATCCTTCTAATTTTTCTTTAATCGTGAACTCTGCAAACTAGCAGAGAAGCCTTTGGAAACTAAAGCATTTAATGATTTCCCCCCAAACCAGAAAGTATCGGGGCCACCATGAAACTAGAGCAAATGTTCAAGAGATATATGCCAGGGAAGGAGGCCAATCCCCACCACTTGCGGGCTCGTCACATAGTTCTGTGGCTGTTTCCTTACTGGTTTAATGTGAATTTTCAGAGCAGACACATTCACTTCTAAAAGTGTAAGTACCAAAAACACCTGGCAAAGTGACTTGTAAATTGTGAGCCCCTTCGATTATAATTATTGAAGAAACACATTCTAAAAAACATAAATAACTTTTGGGTTAAGCACCATTTTAGATCTCCTGTACGTCTTGTTTCTCTACCCTTCAGGATGTATACACTGAATTTTTAAGTAATTTAAAGATAGCTCATCATATACTCTCTTCATAATTCTCTTAAGTCTTCTGGTAAATACATCTTGTCTTTAATAATAAAATAAGTCCCTTGATGGGAAGAAGCATCTTCAGTGACATTTTTTGTCTATAATGCTCAGCACAGGGCCTTGCACAACAGTAGGCGTTTAATAAATTGATTGCATTGACTTTTGACATGAATACTTAAAACTGACTGCATCATGGGCTAACATCGTAGAGAAGCTGTTCCCCAAGCCTTCTTCCATTTACAAAAGACACTCAAAACCCCCTCCTCCGGGAGCGGT